GTGTGTGTGTGTGTGTGTGTGTGTGTGTGTGTGTGTGTGTGTGTGTGTGTGATGGATGTCTGTGTGCCAGGAGCCAAGCTCATGCTTAGCAATTATTCATCACATATTCTCAAAGCAGTGCTATGCTGCACACTGGGGTACAAAAAAGATGAACCACTTGGCTAGGAGCATTTAAGTGGCTGGTGCTATTTATAGATTTCAATCCAAGGCATGTCCAACTCTTTCTTAGTTCTCTTCTGTTTTAATTCTCTATAAATAGATGAGACTGTTATAACGATGATTAATATGCAACGCAACAAATCTGGTATAAAGAGGTTTACTGTGGGAAAGGGGATGGGGGAGAGGGCGTAGAAAGGAAAAGAGAAGAGGATGCCCATGACACAGAGAGAAAGAGACTCAGAGAGGCAGAGAGAGACTGAGACTGAATAAGAGAAAGAAAGTAAGAGAGCTAGAGAGGTTGAAGGGGTCCTCTTATCAAGCACACACCTGGCAGCGACCCGGCAGTGGCTGCAGCGGCAGCAGCAGCAACAGGTGAATACGTCAGAGGCTAGGCCCCCTGAAAGGTAGGCTAATGGGACCACCTTGAAGCTAACAAAGACCAGCAGGTTGGCAAGCGAATTGGGAAGCTGGCAATAGGAAACATTGCTTATTTGGGGGCATTATTTTTCCGTTTATAATGTACCCACTGTGTTATTTCCCAGTGCCTGTGTCGGGGTGGGAACACCTTTATCAAACAGAAGAGGGATAAATGGTAAATAGGAATGAGGTTGGCATAGTAAAAGCTTGCCACAGCTTTTACTCAGGCCACCAAGCTGGAGTGTCCAGGCAGACCCAAAGCTGTCTTTTACTATCTGTAGTATTTCCTAAGTGTCTCCCTCCAAAGGTTGGGAATTCAAAGATATACAAAGGCATTTGTGGACAGTTAAAGTTGGAAAAGACTTTAGTACTCCTCAGTACTCTGAGGAGCAAGTTCCCTTGTGCAAACTCAAACTGGACTTGAAGAAACAAAGTGCAGCAAAAACCACACTTTACTCGTGCTCTTGCAATATTTGGTAAGAAGACATACAGGGATTAGTTACCGAAGACAAATTTTTCCTATCACTCCCGCTCATCATTGATTGAGTACTTTGGGGTCCACAGTATTACCCAAGTGTTGCCTAGGTTTGGAGTTTGTTTTTGTTTTGGGGTTTTTTGATGGTGGTGGTGGTGGGTTGTTTTTTTGTTTTGTTTTGTTTTCTTGTTTATTGTACTTGTTGATTGGTTGGTTGTTGGGTTTTTTTCTTTTGTTTTGTTTTTTGTTTTTTTGAGGCAGGGTTTCTCTCTGCAGCAGAGCCCTGGCTGTCCTGGACTTGCTTTGTAGACAAGGCTGGCCTCAACTCACAGCAATCCCCCTGCCTCTGCCTCCCCAGTGCTGGGATTAAAGGCATGAACCACCACACCAAGCTTTATAAATAATTTCTTATGCAGGATGGGTTAAGACCCAGTAGTTCTTAAACAATGGTATTAAATTGCCATAGAAATTCTACGTGTATCGAAGGTGAACAATAGTCATAGCAAAGGCACATTTCAATCATAGCAAGGCCCTCATAACAATCTCACTTTGCTGGTGTACGACCCTCACACTTCTAGCCTCCAGAAGTGATCAGTAAATACCCCTGTTTAAGCCAACCAGCCAAACAGCACATGTTACAGCAGTCCCGTCCCCACTCCCATTAAAAGAAAAAGCAGTGCCATTGAAGCCTCCATCTTGCATTCTTTGGGGACCTGGTGTGAGGGGGAAAGTGCTGTAAATAAAAGTAGAATGGTCCACTTTCAAGATAAAAAGTGCCTTAGGGAGGCTGGAGCTTAATGACAGGTCGGGTCTGGTGTTTGCCTGTGAGGCTTTCAGAATTCTGCCCCTCCTGCCAAACCAGAAATCTGGTTCAGGGTGGATAAAAAAATCACCGGCAGCCCTGCCTACGTGACTAAGGCCATGCATCTGGAGGGCCCCTAAGTAACAGGATCCTGGGGTGGGAAAAAGCCAGTAAGAAAGTCTTTGTTGTGAGATGTGAACATAAAAGGGGGAGAGAAGGATACCTGTAAGACAGTAATGAGGGTCAGTGTGGTGACAGGTGCCTTTAATCCCAACACTGGGAAGGCAGAGGTAAGAGGAGCTCTGTGAGTTTGAGGCCATTTTGGTCTCCATAGCAAACTCCAGGACAGCCAAGGTTACATAGTGAGATTCTGTCTTTAAAACAAAAGCTAGAAGGTGGTGGTGCAAGCACTCAGGAGGCAAAGGCAGGTGGATCTCTGAGTTCGAGGCCAGCCTGGTCTACAAATGTAGTCCAGGACAGCCAGGGCTGCAAAGAGAAACCCTGTCTAGAAAAACAAAACAAAAATTATAATTTATAACATGTAAAAATAAGGCAGGACTTATTACTAGGATCATTCATTCATTTTTATTGTGTTTTATGAAGAAACACTTAAATACATGCAGTCTCCTGTGGAAAAGACTTTGAAAGTTTAATACACCATTTGTAGTATTATTAAATTCTTTGTCCACACTGACACTGTATACGAGAAAAAAAAATGTGCCCCAAAGAACCATCCTTATAGTATCCTTATGATGAGATACTGAGGAGGTGGAAACTGAAGTTTGTGTTTAGAGATGGATCCCTTAGGAGATGATTAGGATTACGATCCTTGGTATGATTAGGATTAAATACTGCTGACAACGACAATGAAAGAAAAAGGGAAGGAAACAGACGCAGAAACAAGCACATTCCCTGCCTAGTGTGGTGCTCTGTGCTGCATGGGACACTGCCAGCAATGCCATCACCAGATGGAGCCCCTTGACCTCATGCCCTACAGTACTTTAACATCTGTTCTTTATGATTTACCCTTGCTTTGGTATTATGGCAGCAGCAGCTAACGCATGGATAGGGTCCTTCTCTGGGTTCTTGTATCTTCATAGTGGGTTGATTCAGCTGGCTCTCTTGCCAATTTGAAGGACACTAATGATGAGCCCTCCTGAACTCATTAACCTCCCAAAGACCAGACCTCCTAAACAAACCCACAGGGAATTAATCTCAGTTTTGGAATTTGGGAAGAACCTGTTCAGGCCATAACAAGCTTTATCAGAAAAGTCTGCAGTAGCCTGAGGCTATAGCTCAGCTGAGCAATTATAGAACCTGTCTGGGGAGAAAACAAGGATGCCAAAGAAAGAAGGAAATGAAGAAAAGAGTCAGATAGCTCAGCTATCACTGAGCCTGATGACCTGATTCCAGAACCCACAGAGGGGAAGAACTGGCTCCCAGAAGCTGTCCTCTGATCTCCATACATAGTTCATGGCATATGTGTGCCCATACTCACACATTCACACCTTACACACACAAGAATAATAAACAAAGGAAAAAAAGGACAAAGAAAGAAAACTGTCAGCCAGGCTTGGTGGCACTTTAATCCCAGCTCTCAGGGAGGCAGAGGCAAGCAGATTGCTCTGAGTTCGAGGCCAGCCTAGACTACAAGGCAAGTCCAGGACAACCAAGGCTACACAGAGAAACCCTGTCTCAAAAAGAAAAAAAGAAAAAGAAAAAAGAAAGAAGGAAG